CGTGGTGTAGATGGAGAAGTGAATACTTTTAAAGCACGTTTGGTTGCAAAAAGTTATACTAAAAAACAAGTTGTTGATTATGAGGAAACTTTTTCACCAGTAGCAATGCTTAAATCCATTCGGATATTATTAGCCATAGCTGCGTATTATGACTACGACATATGGCAAATGAATGTGAAAACTGCTTTTCTTAATGGAAACATTAAGGAAGACATTTATATGATAACAATGAAGCAGTAGTTAGTTGGAAAAGTTCCAAACAAGAAACAACTGCTGACTCTACAACTGAGGCTGAATACATTGCTGCTTCAGATGCTGCAAAAGAAGCTGTTTGGATACGAAACTTCATTCAAGGGTTGGGTGTAGTACCGTCTGTTGTTGATCCAATAATGATTTTGTGATAACAAAAGGGCTATTGCGCAAGCGAAAGAGCCAAGATCTCATCAAAGATCCAAACACATCTTGAGACGATACCATTTGATTAGAGAAATTATTGGTAGAGACGACGTCATAATGGAAAGAGTCGACTCAGGAGAAAACATAGCAGATCCCTTAACTAAGCCTTTATCACAGAAAGTATTTGAAAGACATCTTGAGAAGATGGGTTTGAAATACATGGTTGATTGGAACTAGGGCAAGTGGGAGATTGTTAGAGTAGAATACCCAACGTTCCAATCAGATTGGATACATTCTACTTGTAAATACAATTTATTGGAATTTATATTAAATAAAAGGCATTACTTTATCTTATGTATTTACATATATTTCAACATATGATAAAGTCCCTAGATCATTAAAAACTATAAGGTATCGTTACGAATTGGAAGGTAATCATGGAAGATGTCTTGAAAGTTTTGATCTTAAAATAAAGTTCCAAGTCGATGGGTATTTCGAGATGGGATATCGAATAACCCGGTAAGACTTGTACATGTGATGTATGCTTGTTGGACAAGAATATTGCATTCCATCAACATTAGCGTTGGAGGCAAATATATATATGTGGGTGCTTGTTAGGGAACAAGTTCACTGAGCATGACCGTATGAAAATTCTTAAATGGAACTTTTACTGTCGAATAAGAATTTTCATGTTGCAATAGTACATGATTGATCCTCTGACTTGAGGCACGATAGTAATCTTATGCATATTGTGTTTTACTTTGATTTATCTTTTGATTGTTGGACAATCATAAAAGGGATATTTTGGGTACTGTATTAATATGTATGAAGGTTTATTTGTGGCCAACAAAGAATTCAACACTTATAAAGATAAGTGAATTTTCTATGTTTTTCATAGTTTGTGATTCAAAGACCTTGGCCAAGGCTAGATGAATATGGATTCATAAAGGAATCACTAAACTTGAAATGGAATCATAGTTATTAAATCAAATGGGTTTCGACTAAAAATTCATACCCAAGGTTTAATCGGGAAATTGGATGTCGAAAGGATTTTACATGTATGGACTTGTAATCGAAAAGGTTTACTCACTATTCACTTAATACTAGATTCATGCTACTTGCTAGATGTTCCCATGATATGTGGGTTCTTGAAATTAAGGAGTTAATTTCATGAATATGAATTAATTAGATTAATTCAAATTACAAAGAGTTGTAAAACCTACTACTAGTATTAATAGTGAACCTAAAAGGTCACACCAATTTTTGAATGAAGGCAAAATGAAATTAGGATTTCTAAAGAGTTAGAATTAATTGACAAATCTAATTTTGATTAGATGTCAATTAAAGGAATATACTAAATTAATGAATTAGATTGATTAATTTTATTTTGGATATTAATTAAGTAATTAATGAAATTACTAAATTAATAGTTGGATTTTAAAATTGAATTTTAAAATTCAAATTTAAATAATAATATGATTATTAAATGAGGATATTTTATATATGGAAGAAAATATATTTACAAATAATTTTGAAAGAGTTTAAAATTATTTGTTTATTATTATTAATAATAAATAATTAAGATTAAAGATTAAATAATAATAATAAAATAGTGGATGGGGATGGGATCTCACGTCATATTAATTATTCTTGTATTAACTTGTAAAAGTGATACAAGACTTTTTAACATTTCTTGTGAAAGTTATTCAAGACATAAATATTTTAAGTTGAATTTCTTTACATTTCTTGTGAAAGTTATTCAAGACATCAATATTTTATACGTAAAATTTTAGTATAAATATGGACATACTTGATGTTCATAATTGCTAAGTTTGTAATAAAAATTTAAGTCTTGAAAAATTTGAGAAAGATAAGAAAAATTATAATCTCTCTAAAAAACAAGAAAAGTTCTTGTAAAAACTCCTCATAAACAAATATTCCTATACTTATTGAAAAATTCGAGTAATTTCTACTAGCGAAGAAATTATCTTTTGGAGTTGGATTTAAAAAGGTGGATACTATTAGAGGGAAGACAATTGGATTCCTAAAGTGAGTAACAAGAAGAATTGATTGTTACTAAACCGGGAATTGATTTCCTCTATCTTCGTCAAAGTTGAAGGAGTTCAAGTTAAGGTAATTTCGAAACTATCTTCAAATCAAAATTTGTATTTATACAGGTTTTTAAATGATAACGATATGTTTATTCACTTTATGTATTTACGGGTTAGGTATTTATATGATAAATACTTGTATTAAAATAATAATAATAATAATAATAATAATAATAATAATAATAATAATAATAATAATAATAATAATAATAAAAGAAATTTTTTTTTCCGCTGCAAATCACCCGTATGGTACAGGCAAACCCAACAATAATCTCAGGGCAAAATAGTTCTAATGATAAGTTGATCAAAATATTTACATAAAATTGGGGATAGAGGAGCACTGAGTGGAGTTTAGGTATGAAAATATTTTAACCTTTTGATTTTATTGTGGTCGGATTGGCCATAGTGATAAGATGTGTGAGATTAAAAAGAGTGATATCCAGAGGAACGTGGTTAGAACAGCGCAATTTGGGGAATGACTTAGGGGACCTTTTGGTGGTGTTAGTGAATCTAGAGATAGGAGATCTGCTAGCCCTAGTAGTGGTACGCTTGTAGATATTTGTAGGTTCGCATTAAATCAACAAAGTCCAGTGAAGCTGGAACATACATTGCATACTGGAACTGTCCGAAAATAAAAAGGAAGTTTGGTTATCCTATTTTACTTTATTCCCTTAACTTTGTTTACTTTGAACTTATTATTTTATTAATCATATTGACAGGAAATCAAGAAGGAATCTATAAGATATCCTTTCCATGCATAAGAGTCAAGCGTGTTGAAGAACTTTCTTATATGGCGTCGAAATATTTGGAGAAGAACTTACCATATAGAAGGTGCCTTGCGGGTGAGAGAAGAAATCGTGAGGAGCAGCAGACACGACAATTGAGGAGATTGACGATGGCAAGGAAACTTACCATTTGCGTGAAGATATCAGAGAATCTTGCACAGTAAAGGGCACACACTTTTTACACAAAAGATTATTTTTCATTTTAGCAAAGAGTCTTCTTGAAAAGGGTCTTGGGGTTTTTGATTTTATTTTTATGAGTGTGAAATCGAGAGCTTGTTCTCGATCTCAGTGAGCTTGAAAACTTATTTACTTTGTACTATTAGTTTAAGTGTTCGGGAGGAACACTTAAAAAAACTTGAGGGATTTGAGTTGTAAAATCACAAGGGATTTGTGGTCGAAAAAGTAGTGTGGTGAGTGATTATAGAATAGGTAGTGAAGAGGAAGTCTTCATTGTAAATCCGAATTATAATGGGTTAAACATTCACTTATATGAAAGATTTCCGTAGGTGGAGTGGGATGCTCCCCTGAATGTTCATATTTTGTAGAACCCTGCTTCCGCAATTGAGTGAACTTACATCTGAGTTTACTGTTTTATATACTTAGCACTATTCTAGTTTATCTAGGAAATCAATGATGACTATATTCCTAAGATCGCTTGGAAATGCGCTTGGGAAAGTGTGAAAAATGGATGGAGCATCCAGTCACAAGGGAAGCACATGACCAAAGGAAAGAAACTTCATTAGAGTGGTACTGTAACCACAAGATTAGACATGGCCACGGGCCGGCCCGCCCCGTGGTCCCGGTCCCAGGCCCAGCCCGGCCCGTAGGTTGCCGGTTCTGAGAATCGTAACCATGGCTTTACGGGTCGTTTCTGGGTCCGGTTTTTCTATTTTTGGTCCCCGCGGTCGGGGACCGGGCCGAGACCGGGTCGGGATCGGGCCGGAACAAGGTTGGTTCACGGGCCTGGCCCTTGGATTTTGGCGGGCTGGTTAAGGGTCACCCATGGGAGGCCTGCCGGCCCGGCAGGCTAGTCCGAGTTGTGCTCCGACCCGTTGACTGGCCATCTCTACAAGAGATCTATGGTCATATGCCAAAAAATTACAGGAAGAAGTGAATTTTCGAGCCCTATATACAATTCTGATGGTCGTCGACCAGACATGGCATAAGATGATATTTCAGTGTAAAACTGCAAAGGATGCATGGCGGGTCCTGGAGCGTCAGTTTGAAAGTTCACAGGCAGTAAAGGCGTCCAGACTTCAACGAGTGACCATAGTGTTTGATGACATCAAAATGAAGGAGGACGAAACTATTGATATATTATGCTAGGTTTTGTGATCTGCTAAATCAAAGTGAAATGCTAGGTGAGGAGATCTCTGAAACTCGTCAAGTTTAGAAGATTATGAGGACATTACGGGCTCGGTTAAGAAAAAAGCTGAAGGGTGGCAGAATATAGTTATTGTTCCTTCTTGTTTAGTTGTTTGTAGTTTCTTGTATTTTTTGTTGTTTGTTTTGTTTAGTGTTTCTTTGGGCTGTCGTGGTCTTTACAGGGGAACTTTTGTTAGATGTTCCTCCTCTAGGATATCTTTCATGGTTATACTCAAAAGGGAGCTGGTTCTTATTTGTTGGTTACTGAACTTTGTATATTTCGAATTTTTATTGAAGNTGGAGAAAAAAAAAAAAAAGAAAGAAGAAGAGTTATGATTATTATATAAGCTTGTATGGCCACTTTCTAGTTGCCCTAGATACTATCATCTTTTTAAAAGAGGATAATAGTGGTTACTCACTTACTGGGTGAAGACTTATTGGTCATAACTCATAAGTCAACGGCTACCTACTTTGATAAAACAATATCAAAATGCAGAAGCTTAGATAAACTTGCTGCAAAATTTCAAGCCACACACTCTCTCTCGCCATCCACACACGCACGTTATAAGTTCGGCAGCTAAAAACAACCTTCGTCTTCAGTTTTCTGTATATATTTTTCATCTCCTTTTAAATCTGACATATATTTACAAGTCCTTAACAAATCAGTGACACAACCGGCGTCCGCCGTCACCATGGAAGCTCTCAAAGCTTCCACTTTCCCTTTTCTTCACCGCCCGCCGAGAAGCCACAAAATCCTTATCCAAAAGTTCGTTGCACCAACTCGGACCTTCACTAAACCTCATCCGCTCATTCGCGGGAATACCTCGAATTTCAGGATTTTCAGCGCCATTTCCCCGACTGAGGAGTTGCAGTCACCCGATCAGGAAATCCAATCGGAGAAGAGAGACGATAAGTTCGACTGGTACGCAAACTGGTACCCGGTGGTTCCGGTGTGCGATCTCGACAAGAGACGGCCACATGGGAAGAGGGTGATAGGTATTGATTTAGTGATTTGGTGGGATAGAAATGAGAGCGCGTGGAAGGTGTTTGACGATAGTTGTCCGCACAGACTGGCTCCGTTGTCTGAAGGGAGGATCGATCAGTGGGGGCGATTGCAGTGTGTGTACCATGGCTGGTGCTTTGGTGGCGCCGGTGAATGTAAATTCATTCCTCAGGCCCCGCGTGACGGCCCTCCGGTGAAGTAACTATTTCTTAATCATATATTTTTTTACAGAAAAAAATGGTCCTTAGTATCTTGTTGTGTGTTTGGCCTTTTATTCATGTTGATGCATTTTTATTTTTGTTTTTCTAAAACATGTGGCATGAAAAAATTTGCTTGGTTGGTTCCATGACCATGATTAAAGGGAAGAAAAACTAGAAAAATGGTCATAAGAGAACTCAGGGAATAGTGGTTTTATGTTGAATTATTATGCTTTGTGCTGAGCTTGTGTTGAAAATGGTTTAGCCTTTAGACCTTCTGGTAATTTAATCTGGTTCTCATTTCTTGGAAGGTGTGAAATACAGTTGACAAGGTATACTATCATTCATATTTCATGTACCTACTTAAGACCTGCAAATCATGAATGCTCGTGCATTATAACTTTATAAGTACTGAGGATCTCTTCGTATTGAAGAAATGAAGATATTTGCTGGGTGCATGCTCGTATTTAGTAAGTGAGCTCATGTGTTTCTTAATGAAAGGCCCTGTTGCAGAAGGTTATAGGTTTTCTTAACATGTGACTTTCTGCTTCTGTTTTTGTGATTGTTTGAGCCCTGGTACAAGGTAGTTAATGGTTGAACATTGTGTTTTAAAGTTATTACTATGAATATTATGCAGATTCATACTTCCAAGAAAGCATGTGTAGCTGTTTATCCGAGTTGCGTGCAAAATGGCATTCTTTGGTTCTGGCCAAATTCAGATTCACAGTGTAGTGACATATTTTCGAAGAAGAAACCACACTTTATCCCAGAACTTGATGATCCTACCTACACCAATCAGATGATATGCAGAGACATACAATACGGGTATATGGTTATTTTCATTTTTAAATTTTTATCTCATTTGAACTGACAATATATCTCTACTGATGGTCATAGGTTTTGTGAATCTCATCCGAGATATTAAACTTGAGGCGGAACTTTTGTAATGAGGGAACAAATTGTTATTTTTAAAATCTTCAAATTGGATGTCACCTTCATATGGTAGTTGATTCCGACGTTAATTACCTTTTCAGGTATGAAGTTCTAATTGAAAATCTTATGGACCCTGCTCATGTCCCATATGCACATTATGGCATTATGAGAATGGCAAAAGTACCCGAGAGATAAGTAACAGACTTGTGCTTCAAATATTATCTTAGTAAAGGTTTCTTGTGGCTAACGGTAAAGTGTCGTGCACTTTGAAGGCCGATAGGGAAGGAGGTAGACCGCTCGAAATAAGTGTTAAGAAACTAGATATAAATGGGTTCACTGCAAAGCAGATTTTCGGGGAAAACTATTTCATTCCGCCTTGTCTCTACTATGGCTATTTCAGTCCTGGAGGGGGTCAGACCACAAATAAGACGTCATCAACTCCAAAATTTGGTGTAAGTACTTTGAAATTTTATTTTCAGGATAATTATATGTATCTTGACGTAAGTTCTAATTTAAAAACGAAAGTAATAATCTTTCAAACTTGCAAGTAATCTAATGTATAACCATGAGGGCTTTTTCTGGTAAAGATTCCCCTTTTTTTGGAGCTATCTGTAAAACAGAAACAAACATAATGGAGGTCCTTGTAACTGTACTAATAATCAAGGGTATTATCTAAATTACCCATTTTCCTTTTATACAGTCGCACTTCTCTGCACATTTAGCAATATATGCTTTCTATAATGCAGGTGCTGTCATCAGCAGTTCCCCCCAACAGAAGAGCTCTGCTTATTTTTTACTGTATTCCAGTCAGCCCTGGTCATAGCAGATTGATATTTGCATCCCCAAGAAACTTTGCAGTCTTGATAGAAAGAATTTTCCCACGTTGGATATTTCATATTGGGCAAAACTTAATCTTAGATTCCGATCTCTATCTTCTCCATGTTGAGGTAAAATTAATCTCGTTTTTCTTTGTGTTCTTTTTGGAATAATTGCAGATGAAATTTTGTATTGTATTCATATGATATTGATAGTTTTTACCTCTGCACTCTACAAAAAAATAAAAAAATAAAAACCGTTCTTATATGGCCATTCATGAAGAAAAAATAAGTTTATGGGGCTTAAACATTTATTGTTCGATAAATGCACTCTAATAGGAACGCAAATTGGCGGATATTGGTCCCCTCAATTGGCATAATTCTTGCTATGTTCCAACAAAGGCGGATGCTCTTGTGGTCGCATTCAGAAGGTGGTTAAACAAGTATGGAGGGACGAAAGTTGACTGGGGAAATAAATTTAGCGGATTATTGCCACCCACTCCTCCTAGAGAGCAGCTGTTAGACAGGTAATTCAAAGGAAGAAGCCCATTCTTTCTTCCTGCTTCTTTTTGAACACTGATACTTATGTCTAATTAGCAAAAATTTCCCTCTTGATGCTCAGTTTAGTATTTCACATATTGCACTATCAATTGGAGGGGTATTTGTTACTAACCGTTATACCCTACTACAAAATAAAATGTCTTTTCAAACTTCTTTTGACCTTGTTCCAAATTTAGCCCTACTTATTCAAGTAATCAAGAAATCTGGACAAACTGATGGTAATAGTATTAAGATAATCATGAGATGAGAAGAGAGAGAGAGATAAAGAAGAGTTAGGAATATTATTAGTATACAATTAGTGTTGTATTAGATAATGTTTTATTATACTCCTCCAAAGGAACACAGGCAGTGTTAAGGATATGTTACCTAATTTAATAACAAGATTACAAAATGCCCTTGATGAGTATTCAAAAGAACATCTTGAAAATTCGGATCACTCATTCGGTTTAATAGTTGAGTTGATGTGTTTTCTTATATGATCTCAGGTATTGGTCTCATACAGTTAGTTGTAGCAGCTGCAGTATTGCTCACAAGTGTCTGAACGTGCTTGAGATAGCCATGCAGATTATCTCGATTTCTGCAATCGGATTAGTTGCAGCCGCCAAACAGGGCATAGTCTCTGTTTCTGCAAGATACATTGTGGTTTCTGTTGCGGTTCTGTGCTTTATGGCTTCAAAGTGGCTGTCGCATTTTATTTACAAGAATTTCCGGTACCATGACTATGACCATGCCTTCCGTTAAGACTAGTTTGCTTGTATAAATATAAGCAGCAGTACATTTTGATGGCGCAAAAACCAATCTCTCGTGAAAGATCAAGCATGTGGACATATATGACAACTGATTTGAATTCTTTGACTTACATCATATAAGAATATAGTACCAAAAACATGTCATAAATAAATAGAGAAGAATTGTGATATGTATATGCATGTAGGAGTTTGGATAATTTTCTTTTATTAGATTGAAGAAGCATACCAATTGGATTTTAAACAAATATAAATATAAAAAGGCAATATTATATCTTTTTAAATGAGAGAAATAAAGATATTGGAGAGAATAATTAAAAAAATAATATGATTAGTTTAACTAAGATATGTAATAAATAAGAATGAAATAAACACGAAATGAAATATGAATAACACCCTACATATAAATTAAGAGATGTAATAAATAAGAATGGAATAAACATGGAAGTGTTAGGGTGATAGAGGGAAAAATATGAAATGAAATAAGTAAACCCCCTGCATATAAATGAAGAGTTTCTCAAGTTTATGTGTTAATTTGTGGTGCTTGGTAATTCTATATGTGATTTGTAATGTTATGTGTCAATTTTTTGTGTTTTGAGTAGTCCACGTAGATTTGGACTTCTATCCATATCTATTAGAATTTTTAAAACTATAAAACATTTGACTAACTTAATTTACAAATAAATTTAAAAGTCAAATAACTTCTAAAATTTAAAAGTTAAATAACTATTTTATTGTTATCAGTTTTTTCATATATGATATATCAAATTAATTTTTTGCTGATGAGCTACGATTTGACTATCATATCACATATTATTGGTGAATGAACTTCACCCGGGCACCTTCAACTCGAACGGCCTCCGTACCTGCAAGAACCTAACGCGGGGAAGGGTCCCGGCGTCAGGCCTCCGATGCCTAAGTCAGCACTCACTAAAATGAGAGTGTAGTAATGAATGTAGAGAGAATGAGATACCTTAGCCCCTTTTATAGGGGGAGTGTACCTTAAGGCCTAAGTTGGGTTTCACCAATACCATCATGTCACGTGTCTTACCTCATGTGTAAGTTTATTCTCCAATATATTCTTTTTATCCATTAAAATCGGTCTAGTATAATATCCCATATCACATATATAAAGTAAATAAGTAATTTTATTTATCTTTATAATAAAAATTAAATTATTTATTAATACTAACTGAATGTTAATGAAATTAAATATCAATTAAAAAGTTATATATAAAGTAAATAGATATGAATTAAAAAATTATTATCATATAAAATAGGTAAATTGTACAAGTGAAGAGTCTCATTTGAATATAAATGATAATGCAATATTGGTTGTTTAAATTTAATTAAAAATTATATTTTTTTATTTTTTTTTAGAAATAAAATATGAACTTTTGAACAAGCACTATTATAATTCACGGGCGGTGTACTAGTAAATGATTTTGTTGTCGCACAGATTTGTAACAACATCGTCGATATAGTCAATACTTGAATTAACACGGCGAGCAAAGATAATGCGAGAATTTTATTAAATATTGAGTGATCGGTGAGTCGTGACCGAAGTGATAATGGTACAGAGTGCCCCCCTCCCCACTGAGGGAACTTTTAGCTATATATAGTAACTTTTTGGTACACATTATTCAAGATTCTCTATCCTTTTTGCTTGAAAAGTAGCTTTAAATGGGCGGTTTCGTTAGTTGGGCCCACAATCATCATGACGTCGGGCACGAAACGTAAGGAGGTCGCGTAGGCGTCTTGTCACCTTCTTGGATATTGGTGAACTCGGTTACCACCGAGGTGGGTTGAAGTGGGTTATGGTGTCGGTAGACAATGGTGGGATTTTGAGAAGTCGGCCATGTCGGAGAAGCATAGGAAGTCGGTAGGAGCGTGACATTGGTGAAGGCAAGTGGGTTCCGTCAGTTCGCCACGTCGGTGGGGAGGCGTAATTTCGAGGTTTCGTGTCATGTTCAAAGAACAAGAGTTCTTGAGGTGTAACTCCCCGTTTTATTTTAAAGAATTTACCGAAATTATTTATAAAAATCAGAGTTTATTTTTCGCAAAAATCCCAATTTAAAACTTTAACATTGAACGGCCGCTACTTAAACAACTAAAACAAATAAACATTTACACAAATAAAATATAACCATTCAAAATAAAATCTCAATTATAATAATCCTCAAACCCAATCGAGCATAGTTAAATACTTCAACGGAAAATTCATGGTCTAATCAACATGTTCAACTTAATTTAAAGCGGAAGCATAAATGTTCAAAGCTAAACAATTGGTCTATCGAGATAATAAAAGAAAGGCGGAAGCAAGTAACACATAATCCAACGACCACCACTCGATTGTCTCTCGCTGCCGCCGCCAACCAATGCTCAACCTAAAAAGATAGGAAGAGGAAACAAGAGGACAGAAAAGTAAATGGGGGTGAGTACAATCATCATACTCACCATTACCGCACAGTATATTTCGCATAAAGATCCATAATCATAAATAATATATGCATAGAATCCAAATCTAACTCTCTATTAGGCCATATCACAAACCTCCTATGTACATACAACAAACCTCCCGACCAGACATCGGCGAGGATGTAACTGGAAGCACTCCCACCCCGGATGCAACGGGCGTACGATCTTACCAGGAGACAGTGAAGTTGAATTACCCCTCCGCTCTACACGGATTCGGGCGCCCACCTCCCGGATGCAACAGGCAGGTGACTTCAACTGATTATGCATTCGTCAAAGGCACTACCATCAGGACACTTAGACTAGGGTTCTCACGCATACAAAAACTATCGCGACAAATATTTATACGAAATAACAAGTGCGATAAATGTAGATTCAATATTAATGAACCCACCTGGTAGCGATCGAGTCAAACACAAAATAAATGGTAGTCGGCGAGGTCGACTCGTCAAACACCTACATTTATTAAAATAGCCTTATCAAAGACTATTCGGCAATTTACTTAGTTCAACTAAGTTCACGTAAGCATTCAAGCATGCATTAAATCAAGGGAGACACATTTCAGAAAATATCACATACATTTTGAAAATTTAACCCAGACAGCGTTTTTAAAACCGACATAACTTTGAGCACACAACTCATATGAACATGAATCAAATTGCATTAGAATCCTAAGAGATAAATCTACAATTCTTATGAAGACACTGAAGGCAAACAAGGTCATTTAACAGGTGATAATTCAACAAACATCAAAATTTGAGTCACAGTCCAAAACTGGAAAAATAAACTTGACCAGACTTCAGTAATTGCTATATAACTGGAGCTACAGGCATGCTTTTAATGAATTTCAAAATCCACATGATAGATAACTTAAATATCTACAACTTAGCTGAATATCATATTAGAAAATAATCACATTATACACGAGTTTCAACACAAAACATGTGATTCCGTAAATATGTGAAAACTAGCATGATGACATGGACAGCACCTCAGTTTTTAACATTTATTTTGAAATACAGACCTTCAAATGATATGGTTCAAGTCTCAAATTAAACCTTAAGCATGCCTCTACAACTTTTATTTAGAACACAGCAGCATATAAGATCATTTTGATAGGTCAAAATCAGTTCACATTCAATATCAGATTTCTGCCAAAATAATAAGTCCCATCTCATGCATGTCTAACTTCATAAGAGCACAACTCGAGCTACAGAGCACGTATCAATATGAAATTTATCTCATTTTAAAGGCAAGAAACAGACCTATAACTTTCATGAGAAGCCTAAGTTTATAAGAGCACATCACGACATGATAAACAGGTCATATATTAATTTCAGATATGCTGCCGGGTAACAGAAAAACTGAACGTGCAACATTTTTACAAAAATCATAACTTATTCGATACAACTCGGAATCAAGAAATTTTAAAGCCCAGATTTAGCAAACTGAACATACTACATTTCATAAGAAGACCACGATTTCAAATAACCAGTCTCAGATGGTTTAAAACGCGGCACAACAGATCAACGAATAACGTGTTTTCACATAAAATACCAATGAATACAAGACGGATGGTTCGAAACTCGACAACGATCAATATACTTTCTCGACAGAAAATAAACGAGCACATTGAGGTTCAACACAGCAACAACATAATACTTGGTTTAGCGAAGTTACGAACATGATCCGATAAACGAGACGACATATACGAGCCGGTAAACAATTCGAAATAAATTCCGACTTCAAGCAAGAATAGGTAACACATATGATAAATTTATCTATCATGTAATATACGAGCATGACCGGAATAACGAGAGGATTCGAATAAGTTACCCGCTTTCGAATATCTACGAGCTAACGGAAGAAAAACGGGCCGAACGACGGGTCGGCCGAATGGGTCGAGAATTGGCTCGCGAACGGAACTCGGATTAAGGGAAAGGAAACGAGGGTGGCCGTGGGCTTGCTTCACGCCGACAGCAACTCGCCGGAAATGACGTCGAGCTCGCTGGGGGTGGTCGCCGGAAGTGGTGGTGAACTCACCGGAGGTCGGGCCTGAGGACAACGGCTTGCGGAGGTGCTCGAGGCCGCGCGCTGGTTTGCTACACGCGGAGGAGTGGCTCGCCGGGGAGCTTTCGCCGGAAAACAGCGGCGGTGGTCGGGGTGCGTGGGGAGCTCGCCGGTGAAGGTCTGCTCGCGGCCATTGTTGCTAGCGCCGGAACTCGTCGGAGATGGGAGCTTCGATGGAGGAAGATGAAGGGCGAAGGTGATGAAGATGCGAAAATGAGGAGAATGATGATGAAGATGGTCCAAGATGGTGAGGTTGACGACGGGGAAGAAGATATATATATTCTCTGTTTTTCTGCTCGATAGGATTGGGAGAGAAAATGCTAAGGCGTGATTTATTTTTGAAAGGGGAAGAAAATCTGACTACTCACGTAAATAGCCGAGAGATGAGGGGACGGAAAAATTATGTGAGGAAAGAGAGACATTAATCTCCTATTTAATGGCTATTAACCACTCTTAAAAATTGGTCAAGGCACAATTAAAGGAATAGAAGCATAGGATTTAAATTTGAACATATAAAATTGATCAGATAAAAAAAACGTCTGGCGAGGATTAAATAATAAGAACAGATAAAAATTTATGCCATTCTAAGCTCAAATGGGCCCGAAATTAATTTAAATGGGCTAATACAAAATAATTTGGGTTGAGCCTAATTAATCTCGCAATGGCTACGGAAATTAATCCAAATTGGCCGGTTCCTCTCGGGCTCAACTCGAAAATTATACGAGGCTCAGTTCA